CAGCGAGGAAACGGTTTTGAGAGATCGGGAACACATATTCGTGATCAGCGTGCGATTCTCTATCGAATGGTGTGTAAAACATAGAAAACTAAATTCTGTTCGATCTTTGCCTTACCCGCATCTTACTACTAAACAAAACATTCGATAATGCATAGCACGAGTAGGCATGCACCGGTTAAAAACTGGTTTTTTGTCGCCTTTTGGCACAAACTAAATTGTGCGATGGCATATTAACTTTTTCTTACAACTCAGTTTTCTCAGTCACAACTCAGTCAGCAAACATAGTTCATATTTGCTCTACACAACTCAGATGTGAGAAAAATTTAATATGCCATACTCTTTATAATCGATTTGCGAAAAACGCTAAAAATATCCGTTTTTAACCGGTGCATGCCTAAGCACAACTTGGGTAATAAGATCACTCTTTCAAACTTATTAGTGGTTGTAGTAGTCTAAAATAGTTTTGAAAACTGAATTGCGACTGTTCTAGAAAAGATTCTACTCCTTCTACCTGTCCTCGTTCCGCAGCTCTTAGTCAATGGAAATAAGATCCTTTGCTTTCTTCAGATTAACTCAAATAAAATACATGGAAATTTTTGATAAAATTAACTTTGACTTAGTTTACTAGAGTTAAATTATTCTTAATTACTTCCTGTAGATTACATATAGGTTTAGCTCACTCTCCACAACTTGACACTAATTTTGTGGCCAGGAAGCAGGATTACGAAAGTTAGTTCGATGCACAAAATGACGAGGGTATTCTTGAAAACTAAAAAGGATATATTCGGACACCTTTCCAGTTTTCGAAGAGCATTTAAGTTCCAAAACGGTTTCGGACAGTACTTTTTCTGTTTCGGAGGATACCGTTTTCGTTTTCGAACATTTTCTTCTGCACACATTTTAATGAATTTTGAAGCTTCGACAAAACCGTAAACTAAAACGCATGAAAACGCTTTCACGGTTTGCCTCTCCACGCTTCTATTTTTATTGTTTTCCTTTGACAAACTGTTAGTTCATGATTTTATTTGTACAGTTTTGACCTTTACGATAATTTTTCATGGTTTTAATTGTACAGTTCTTAAACGGACGGTTTTATTTTACGGTTTTTCTTCGACGGTTGGAAAGTGGACGGTTTTGTTTCTATGGTTTTAACCTTTATGATTTTACTTCCATATTTTTTCTTTTATACTTTTGCATTTTACGGTTTTCATAATGTAGTTTTTTACTTCATGGTTCTTCTACACGGTTTTTTTCACTGTCTAGCCAAGTTAATTAGATAGCATTAAGTAAAAAGCTTGATCTTTCGTTTTATCATACAAAATACAAAATATTTTCGTTGTTTCCTTTTCGCTCCAAATAACAGCTTCAAAACATGGCTGACTCCAAAACGCAAAATGTGGTTTACGGATGATATCTCATTAGCTACAACTCATTGAAAAACTACAACATTAACATCATATCTTGTAAACGAGACATTAAAAATCTCTGGGAGATGCTCCATTTTGAACAGAGTGACTCTTATGTTGTCTGCTAATACTCCCTCCCATTTTTCTGGTTTTCGGGAAGTTTTCCCAGAAAACCATCAGATTTGTTAACAGCCTTGTTAGAATACGTAGGTATTTACTCTTATCGTTTCTGATGTTTTATACGCCCAAAAAAGTTATTTTAGTTGAACAAAGCATTGTTTCCATTACCAATGAAAACTAAGTATTTTGGAAAAAGTTGAAAAGCTTTTAGCCGGAATGCTTTCGTGCACCGGCAGAATCGTAGTTATATGCTGCTGATCGACAAAATATCTCAGTGTTTGATTAGAATGCCCAGAAAAAAAAATTACAAAAAATTACAAAATTTCAAATTTTAAAGTTTGTAATTGAGTAACTTTCAAAACTGTGTTTAATTTTCAACGTTAATACGCATTAGACGGTTACGTCTGATTTTCTTAGATAACTGCTCTTTACGAGTTTTCCGGATGCACTCGCGGACCCTCGCGAATCTAAACTTTTTGTCGATAACAGTTTATCAGGACTATTAATGGTAATATTAAGTAAGCATATACGTACATAATTCTATTTTCACTCATTGACTAGATATGAAAGTTATTGTTCACATTGAACAGCATGAATTGGCCATATTTCAACATGGACAGTTTTGATTAGATCGACATATCTACTTTGCTTATCGCTACGATTATGATTTTGAATAATTATTTATTTATTCTACGAGAGGAATGAGTGGCATTTGTCATTAAACAGAAATAGACAAATTAAATCATTCAATAACAAATGTATGATTCGGTCGATACTATTCTATTAAATGTCTGTGCTTCTTCTTCCTCAGAGTTTCAAACATCGATTCCATTCTGGAGATATAAAAATGTAACTTGGTTATGTATATACATTGGGTCTGTATTTAAATTAAATCGATCTGTGTTAGAGTATTTGCAGCACATATTTCCTAACAGTAATAAAATTCATTTTTTAAGAATTCGGTTTTTAACTCTAAGCAGAATACAATTGGAATTAGTTGATACACAATTACTGTCCATATTGTTGACATATGGTAGATTTATACATACGTTGTCTAGATTCGATCTTCCGACCTTTCATACGCTGTACTTCTCCAACTACGCATTGTCCCATTGCACTAAATTGTGCAAAGGAAACTACGAGTTATGATAATACATGAGTGAATTGCAATTTAGCTGTACAATTAGCAAAAAAAAAATGAAAGTGCTCGTATCAAAAGTCTGAGACGGTAATCTTGTTCCCGGTCATTTTCTGTGTGTGTGATAAAAATTTCCCGACTACCAGACCTCGTTTAGACGAGAAAATCCAGAAAGAAGTTTGCCTCCTTTTATTGCAGGCTTACAAATACAAAGCAGTGATTTCTTTTCGTCATAACTTTGTATACGAAGGCAACAGACAACTGCGGTTTTCAGTACGGTTTTCACAGGGGAAAATTTGAAGATTTGAGATTTTGATAGTGACTTCAAGAAAGCAGTTCTGAGCAGGAAAAGTTGCTCAGAAATCTGCACTCTATACATGACATTTGGTTGATTCAAAACTGAAAAAAGAACGTATTCAGAGTTAGAAATATGAAAGGCGAAGTGTCAGCACAAAAGAAAAATGGTATGTACTACTCAATGTGTTTGAAAATAGCGAAAAAAGCCAAAAAAACATAAGTTTTCTGTGCACAACTGGATAGATGCATAAAAATTTTTTTCGAATATATATTTTGCAGTATGATTCTACTTAACTCTGTATATTGTTACCACCATCTAAACCAATTCCAAAAATCAATCGTGCACGTTCCAAACAGAAAACTGGTAAGGTCTTACTTGGATTAATTCCAATTGTTGTTGATCTTCAAAGAAATAATGTTCTAATTGGTGCAATAATAAAATTTTCATTTGATAAACAAGTGTATCTTGTTCACTAGCATCTTCCAGAAACTCCTTAATTTGATGAATTGCATGATATGATGCTCCAATTGTCGGATATTGTCGGCCGGATATGAAATCTGTTGCTAAGTTGAACGGTCTCAAAACAATTTCTATTGCTTCCAAAACGGACCAGGCATCAGTGTCCAGTTCCAATGAACTTAATTTTGTACGCTGCTCTGATCTCAACTTTAAAGAACTTTTTTCTTTATGAAATGAACTAATGACATTTTTAAATAACAAAAATGTCTCAAGCATACGATGTGTAGAATTCCAGCGAGTACGACAATCTGATTCCAATGATCTATTTATACCAAAACGTATTTTTGTTTTATTTGCATAGTCGGATAAAACTGAAGACCTGTAAATAGCATAAAACGCAACAGACACATAAGACATCAACTTGAACCCGCCATAAAAAATACGTGAGGCAAGTCAAAGTACAGTATTTCGACAAAAAAAAAGGCTTTAGGTGTAACAAACTAAAAAATACTGCGTTCCAAATTATTTTTTTCTATCAGGAAATTGTGAGCAGGGTGTGCAATTATACGTGAGGCCGTGTTGCACCTCCATACTTTCCTATGCGAAAGCTACTGGGTAAGCAGATTCTGACTAAAGTCCTACGCTACATTAGTGTGATGCCTTTATAATACGTCTTGTCCCTCTATCGCATACTTTTATAGAATCCTTATTTCTATTGCAATGGAATGTTTGATATTGAAGAGACGATTCGCAAGCACGTTGAGAAATCACCTAACATGGTCAAATTTTAGATTTCGTTTATTCTACGCTCAATCGATAGAGTATGTCGAGGAACCTATTAATCTAAGGTGACACTGTTTTTCGACTTTCCATTATCGAGTTAGACGATGTCGAA